CTCTCTATCTCTATCTCTATATCATCTTTCTCTATCTCTTTCTCTCTCTCTATCTCTATTTTCTTTCATCTCTCTCTCTCATTTTCTTTCTTTTTTTCTTTTTTCTTTTTTTCTTTCTTTCTTCCTTTTTTTCTCTTTCTCTTTCTCTGTCTGGGTGTGTGTGGGTTTCAAAAAATTTTGGAACCTCTTCTGTAGGTGTGGCCTGCTTTCCGGGTCCACTGGTGGAACCTCTTCTAACCGGTTTGGTAGATTTGATGAACCGGTTCTACCGAACTGGTAGGAACACACCTCTGGTCCTGCCTTTCATTTACTTTTGATTGAAAGTAAAATGACAGGGGCTCTTGTGAAACATAAGATAATGTATCAGCTGCATTAAAAGGGGAACATTTAACCAACAGTGATAGTGGGAGTAGCACACATAGAAGGTATGTCTTGTTAATTATAGTTATATAGAGGGAAATAGATTTTCTAGAAAGGAGAAAGAACTAAAGAATCAGTGTTTGAGTAGAGAATGAGGACAAACAAAAGTTTGTTGTGGTGTTTGATATGTTGTTACGGATCATTTAATCAGCGGTGGGTTTCACATTTTGTTGCCACTGTTTTGCTGCACATGAGCCTGGCCTTCCGTGCATGTGCTTTGTTCACATGTGCACCATCCGCGCATGCGCCCGGCCTCAAAAAGTGTGCCTAAATAGGATGGCATAGAGCTGGGGTGGGGGGGCTGGCCCACCCACGATTTCCGCTACAGGTTCAGGCAAATCTGTCCAAACCAGCTGAATACCACCTCTGCATTTGCTATTATACATTGCTTAAATGGTAGGGGAAATTATATCACACACATACCTAATCGGCTGAGGAATGGAAAAATTCTCAATTTAGCAGGAATGTAGACAACTGTTGTGTTCTGACTACTTCAAATGTGTAGTAAAATGTTTTTTTCATTCCATGGTAGAAAGACAGAGGCAACTACTACTTACTCTGTCTTGCAAAAAGATCAACGGATTCCTAGTACAGAAACTGAATTTTATGCACTTTTTTTCAGCCCAAAGGCCACCCTCCAAAAAGCCGAATAAAAGCTAAATTGGGTCTGATATGAGCTTTAATTAAAATGCATTTGTGTTAAGTAAAGTTAACATGCATATTCCCAGTGCATTTTTTTTTCTTTTTTGTTACATTGACTTTTGCAATTCAATGACATTTGCTGGAGGAACTAAGAGCTTTGGGAGATGCAACATGTGGGCTCCAAATATAGCTGAAAAAATATTTGGTTATAACTATTTTATCTTATCCTTCATCTAGACAGCTCGAAGTATCACACAGGGATTTTCCTTTGATCCAGTGAAACCCATTTGGTGCTGTTATGATATCTGTGATCAAGTTAGCTCTTTTTATTCCTCTGTTACATACATTTGCATAAAGCACATAAATCCACAGAACCTGGTTGATATTTCCTCACTTTTTTCCAGGATCTCATTGCTGGTCTATCCTGGAATGAGGTGCCCCTGAGATTTTTTTTATGCTTTAAGATGGACTTAAACAACCAACTTACTAAGTGATCAAATATATTCATTTGGTAAATTATCACTAGACAATTGGCTGCTTCTCTTCATTCTGAGATGAAATCAGCTTGCAGGAATTCATCTGAAAAATATAAATATGGGTAGTATACTTTAGTTGTCCACAGGCAGTGTTTCATATCAAAGATACATTTCAGAAATGATTACTTGCCAAAATGATAGCATAGGTAAAGGTTCCCCTCGCACATATGCGCCAGTCATTCCCGAATCTAAGGAGCGGTGCTCATCTCCGTTTTAAAGCCGAAGAGCCCCCGCTGTCGGAAGACGTATCGGTGGTCATGTGGCTGGTATGACTAAATACTGAAGGCGCACGAAACGTTGTTAGCTTTCCACCAAAGGTTTTTTTTTTTCTACTTACGCTTTCACATGCTTTCGAACTGCTAGGTTGGCAGAAGCTGGGACGAGTAACAGGAGCTCACTCCGTTACGTGGCGCTAGGGATTCAAACTGCCAACCTTTCTGAATGACAAGCTCAGTGTCTTAGCCACTGAGCCACCGCGTCCCAAATGATAGCATAGTTAAGAGCAAATTCCAGTTTTTTCTAATGATAGGATGCTCATATTTAATTTTGCAGTGGAAAAGCCAAGTCTAAACTTCTAACAGTAGGATGCAGGATTAAAGAAGTAATCTAAAATTAAATACAGTATTTCCTTTTCTGTTGTATTAAAATTGCAGGTCAAAAAGAAATGGTTTAAATTATAATGATGTATATTCTTACTCATTTTGTATAGGCCTTATGAAAAGAAACCTTACCTTTCAGTGGGACATGTAAAACAGTTGATATTAAATATCAGCTTGTACAATGCCGGTGATGATGCTTATCAGACCAGCCTTCATATCCAACTGCCTAAAGGTCTCTATTTCACCAAACTTGTAGCACAGGTAAGAAACCTATCTTCTATATCTTTGTACAAAGTAATTTGTCAGACACTTTTTCATTCGCTCAGTTAAAAATAAAAGTTTCATTTTAAAACATTTGAAACTCAATTCACAAGACAAACTGAAATAAAACAGATTTAAACCAATGTACAAAACTACAGTCATTCTTCCAGACTGTTTGGTCCTCTTAATATTACTCATTGAGTAAGAAGAAAAAGATGAATTGATTAAAACAAAAGGTTTTCCTTCTTGTTTCATAGAAATCAGTGGGGTTTACTGCAGAATAAGAATGTTAAGGACTATATAGTAAAGGTGTTTATAAAAACCGTATAATTTTTCCTTCCAAAATTTCCCTTTCTTCTTTGGGGCAGACTACAGGTACAATTTTCTAGCAAGGCAAAGTATAATTATAAAGGGAAATGTCCAAGTATTATTTGATGAAGCTGCAAGCAAACTATATGTCAAATACCACTTTTTGCCCAAAATAAAAAGGTGAAAAGCAGAATTTTAACATTAAACACTTTGCTATTTAGACCTATAAATTGTCTCCTCCATGTGGCCAGTGACACATGACCAACACAAAGTAATTTACACTGTGTTGAATGTAAGGACTTCAGCTTTCAATTTGCTTAGAAAAAATTGAATTAAGTTTATAGGAACTGTCAGCCAACATCATCCCTTGTGGAAATCATCCCTTATGGAAATCACTTTTGTTGGGCCACACTACAGACTATGATTACACATGCAACAGAAGATTGTGCCTTCTTCGTGATGGTCCATTTCCTTTCCACTTTTCTCTATCCAAAATAACAATGTCCCATCAACTTCATAAATCATAAGTTTTCTTTATAATTTGAAAGATTTGAAACTTATCAGTAGACATAATGTAACTGGAAAGATAGAATTCACTCTTTTCTCTTTGAGTGATAAGCCTAATCAGTGTTTTCTGTAAAAACCTGTGGTTTACATTGAAGTGAATTAAACTTTCAGATTTTTTATCAGTGGTAGTGCTGGTGGTATTATTGCCCTGCAAAGTTCCCAGGCAATATGACAATGATTACCACCACAGAAGTTCTGTGTAAATGTTTCCCGTTTTCTTGTTTTATTCAAGAATACCAAATACCTCTGTATTTTTTAATAAAGAGCAACTGGGATGTAGGATTTTGATTTGGAGAAGTGGGATTGCTGTTAACCTTTTCTCCCTAAAAAAGATAAAGGAATCCCTGCAGATTTTACTCCACTGGGCATTGCCCACCATAGGGGATGGTGCTCATTTCTGTTTCAAGGCCATTGAGCCAGGGCTGTTCAGAGACATTTCCGCAGTCATGTGGCCAGTTTGATATCATGGAGAGCTGTTACCTTTCCACTGAAGTGATACCTATTTATCTACTTAGATTTGCGTACTTTTGAAGTGCTGGTTTGGCAGAAACTGGGGTGAGGATGGCTCAGGTCTCAAATACGGGCTGTCAGCTTTTCAGCTGATAAGCCCAGAATCTTAATCACTGAGTCACCACACCGCCATTTCTCCCTAAATCATTTTCTGATTATTATTTTTTTATTCCTTCAAAACTGCTATTTTCGTTTTGGAAAGACATATTGGTACCCTTTTCTAGCAGAGCAAACCCTTTCAGAAAATAGGGAAAAATTTTAGTCAGGAAAGAAGCATAACGGGAAAAGGTTAGATAGCATTCCGTTTTCAGTCTTCCTTATAATCAAAGTCTCACAGAACATGTAGAGTTTGGCCCACTACCAGGCCATAGCCTATTTGGAACCAGGCTGCACAAGGTAGTATAAAGGTGGCTGAGTGGCTAAGATGCTGAGCTTGTCAACCAGAAAGGTTGGTGGTTCGAATCCCTAGTACGGGTCTTCTGCGTGAGCAGGGGGTTGGACTAGATGACCTTCAATGTCTCTTCCAACTACCGTTACTGAATTGACTGTTAAGTTGCGGGCTAGCATACTTTGCGCGTGCAGCTTCACTTGCGCAAGTGGCGAGCTGGTTCGCATGCAGTTCCACTGGTGTGAGTGGCAGACAGGCATGCAAGTGCATGCACACTAGTTTGTCACTCACACAAGTGTGGGCATGCATCCCACTCACAGAGCCCAGTTCCCCTCTCTCTCGTTCCCCACCACCACCACAAACCGGGCCACCAAGCCGCAAATGTTGAGGACCTCTGATCTAGATAAAGATTTCTGTGGCCTTGTCAATTTGAAAAAAAATATTTTTTGCAAAACTTTCACCTTCTTCTGTCTTCTTACATATTATTCATTTGTACAATAGGAAGAAACACAGATACAGTTACAAATATCAGAAAAGGAAAGTCGAGTGACAATTAACTGTAACATTGGATATTTATACGTTGATCATCTTTCAAAGGTAAGAATAAATATGAAAAGTGACTTGGTTAGTACATAAGAGCCTATACCCTTCATTGCTATCATATTTGTATACCAAGGAACTATGATGGATCGCCCCAAGTATATGTTTTCTTACCAGAGTATTAGTAATTATTAACCAAAGATGGTATCCATATGCATTTTCTAGTATGTCTAATAATTGGTTAAAAAAGATTAAAATAGATTAGGTTAAAATGTCAAACTGCAGCATCTCTTAGGTATGAGAACAGTAGTATGACTTACGATAACAATTTGGGGCTTCTTTGTTGTAGTTGTTTACATGTTCAGTTCAGTTCAGTGAAATGTTTGGAAATCATAAAAATGGAGCATGTTAAACAGGATCAAGGGTACATCTTTATAGACAGGATTCCTATGATGCTTAGTAGTTAAATTAAGTTAAGTGAAAGATATGCATGTTGAGAACTGTATTGATAGTTAATCTACACGCTGCCTTCATAAGTGAATAAGTTATAGACTTCAATAGTGTAATTACAGCTAATTTACTGAATACAGTGCCTATTATGCATTCTGATATAATACAGATTGATTAATGGAAGCTGAAAAAAAATCATTTTTTCAGGTGGACATTAGCTTTGTGTTGGATTCAAGTTCACTCAGCAGAGCAGAAGATGACTTGCACATCCACATTAATGCAACTTGGTAAGTGTTGCTTACTACATGTTGTTACCTTAGACCTATATTTGAAAAAAAACCCAAAGAACTGCATAAAAATACATTTCATAATTTGCACAAATTTCACAGAAATCTAATGTAATGGGGCCCCAATATTTCTCTTTGGGGTTGGGTAAATAGGCTATGGATACAGTCCTCAAATGGGTAAAACTCTTGTGCCGAAATGATAGAAAATGTGCTTGCTGGCATTTGATCATGCTACCTATTGCCAAATGTAGAGCCAAGGTGGCGCAGTGGTTAAATGCAGCACTGCAGGCTACTGCTAGATCAGCAGGTCAGCGGTTCAAATCTCACCGGCTCAGGGTTGACTCAGCCTTCCATCCTTCCGAGGTGGGTAAAATGAGGACCCAGATTGTTGGGGGCAATATGCTGACTCTCTGTAAACCGCTTAGAGAGGCCTGAAAGGCCTATGAAGCGGTATATAAGTCTACTGCTATTGCTATTGCTATATGTACTATATAACAAAGAAAATCAAACAGTACCTCAAGGATGTCAGTAAACATTGTGATGCATTTCTTTTCTTTTGTAGTGAAAATGAATTAGACCATGACCTGCTGTCCGACAACAGTGTAGTTTTAGCTTTGGCTCAGAAACACGAAGTCGAACTGAACATTTATGGGTAAGCGAAAGCATTTGGAAATGTGTATAGAGCTGTTGCAAAGCAACATTCAGAGGTCTGCTGATTTCTCAGTCTTTTGATGCTGTGGATGTTCTTGTATGTTCTTTTAATTGCTTGGCCTTTGCTCATTTTTATGAAAAGATGGTATAAAAGCTTCACAAATGCTGTTTTAACAGGATAACCAGGTACATTCAGTGTTTGGGCTTTCAACCTTATAGAGGCTTAATGTTGTCCTTATGACTTATAAAGATGGATAGCTGAGATTCATTTGACCTACAAAAGCCCCAATTTCTGAAAAAGATATTAAAGTGCATAGTAGCTCTTGATCCTCATACAGCTTTTTAATAAATGAAAATGTGTTGAGATCTGTGTATATAAAATATGTGTTTAACTTAATTGTAAATATGTATTTAATTGCAAACATTATAGCTGATGAGAACTAAATAGCTTGAAATATTGTATGTATGTATGTATGTATGTATGTATGTATGTACAGTATGTATGTATAATATTTCAAGCTATTTAGTTCTTATCAGCTAGCCATACCCTTACTGGGATTTGAAGGGTATGGCTAGCTGATGAGAGCTAAATAGCTTGAAATAGATCTATACTAGTCTCCCTTTATTTATTTATCAGCACAAATACAACACAAATGTAACAAAGGCAACAGTAAAAATATTGGGTTTCTGTCGTGATGGTCTCTTGTGATGAGCTAATAGACAGAGAATGGAAGCAGTCTGCTTCCTCCCATATTTGGGCATACCAGGGGTTGTGACACTACATGCATGCATGCATGCATACATACATACATACATACATACATACATACATACATACATACATACATACGGATGATAACGTAAAACTCAAGGAATAGGAAGGGATATACACCAGCATTATTATTATTATTTTTAAAGTGCCATAAATTTGGTAGAGTGCATGCTTTTGCAATTTAAAATGCACCTGTCTTCTTCAGAGAAGGCTGGAATATATTCTTGCTGCAAATGTTGCAGAGATAAATACAGAATTGTAGATAGAACAGTCATCCCAAAAGAGATGAGTTCTTTTTTGATACGCGGAAACCAGCTGGATATGTGACTGACTCTACCAGGACAGTCAGTCCCCGCAGATGAGACTTCTATCTCATCTGCACCTTCACCTCCTCCTGTACTTCTCAGAACTTATTTGGAAGGTCACATTCAGGTTTAAAGGCCACATAGGAAAGCAGGAGGAAGGACTGCAATGAAAATTATGAGAGTTGAGTTGGATGTAACTAAGTTTTCAAAGAAGCTATCATATGATTGTTCCAACCTTTAATCAATGTTTTCTCTGTCATTTGTTTTTTGGGGAAAACAAATTATTTATAGGTCTGTGTCTCCAGCATCATTTATTTATGGACCCAGTGAAGAAAATTCACCAGTTTCTTGTATGGAGGAGACAATCAACACCACTTTCTATGTATGAAAGTTATTCTCTATTTTCATTGCCTTTTGGAAACATGAATTAAATGAAATTAATTTTTTATAAACAAGAATGCTTTCTCATGAACTGAGATAGATTTGAATCTAGGTCTTTCCAGTCCGAGTCCTAGACATCTTCTACAAAGCTGCTTTCTTAGCCACTGAAGCTCCATCCATATTGAAAACTCTCGGAAACATATTCCTTTAATTTTACCCATTATGTCACAGCTACTGTCTTTTCACAATGAGGGAAGTCATCTCAGTTTTTGAACTATAAGTGCCATTGTGAATTGCCATGTTTATTATAATGTAAATATCCGTTTTCAAAAACGGGGTTTAATTTTTGCTCCGTATATTCATTGTTTCAAAAAGATTTCCTTGCTGGAGGAATGGCAAATAAGGGCTATTTTTGTCTCTTCTACCACAGTTTTAATTATTTAATTATGCTTTCCCTGTGGTCTTGCACTGTCCTTTAATGCCATTTTGTCTACCTGAAGTATGCTTTGGATACAGATCTTTTTCTCTGTGTCATATAAGATATGTTGGTATATGCATAATTTTGTATTTATTTTGTCATGTTTATGTAGTGTATCTTTGGAGGTGGTAACCCTTTGAGAGCCGTATGCAATGTAATTTCATTTTAATGTATGCCGATTAGTTTACATTCAAAGTGATGACAAAGTTATTCTAAGTTCTAATCTGCAAATATTAAAACATACAGACGCTTTAGCTTGTAGCATCAGCAACTATGTGTTCAAAATTCAACATTTGGAAGTGAAGATTTTTAATATTACAATTGTTTTAAGATTTACCTGGAGGATGGTGATAGGGTGCAATAGTTCTGATACCAATTGAGATAAACTACTAATTCAACTCTTGTCTTCTGTACACCAAAGGTCAGTAATCCTGGAGTAAGTCTGGCTCCTGATGTAAATCTGCTGATACAGATACCCAATTCTTTTCTACCAAGAGATAACAAGCTCTTTAATATACTGGATGTCAAGGTATGCTTAATTTATTTTCTGGGTTTGGAACATGAAATGGGACACAGCATAACAAATTATGCAATTGTTACCTTCCCACATAAATCTGCAAGCTTTATGAACGATTGTGATATGCTGTCTTTGACTTTTATGATTTAAGAGGACGGCTAAACCAGCAGTGCCATTGATGGAAAAAGGTGTAAAGGAGCATAGAGGAGAGTATGTTACAACAGATTAAGACAGGCGGGCGCTTAAGGATCTTTGTGTATTGATGAGTTGCTTTGCCTGCAGAAAACATCATCAGAAAATACTGTGAAAATATAAGAATAGATGAATAATTGAATTTCAACACAAGGGATCACAATCTACAAGATAGCAGGGATGATGCAAGACCCAGTCCTTTTGTACATGCCTCAAGGTCACACAAACGTACAAAAAGAAGGGAATTTTTTTAGAATTTTAGAATTTTATTAGTATTTGTAGGCCGCCCTTTTCCCTGAGGGGACTCAGGGCGGCTCACACAAAA